TCTCATTAGCTGTTCATAGCAGATGCTTGAAATTTTATTACACTCTTTGTTGAGGTATGCCATATGATGGGAATAATTTTGATATGAATCTGATGTCAACTTCATATTTTTCTGTGCATCTGCCTGTAATTGAACATGTGTATATTAACATGATAGTGCTTATTTACATCAGAGCTGGGGTATTACTAGTGAGCATTGGCTCACAGATTTCTTGTTTTTATAAGTATGAACCACTCACTGTATAGCTAACATTGCATTATTTGCATTATAAAAGAACATTAGCTGCATACCGGCTCTTAACATTTCACTGTTTTGAATTTATGAATTAATCTCCCAAGCTTATTCAGTGAAACCCTGAGGCAATATTAATCATCTTTAATTCCAAGAATAAATGTTTAACTGTTGGAATTTATTCAGGCATTATATAAAAGCATTGTTAAATAATATCATCATGATAAATATCTAAATGAGTTAAATGGAAAAAAAGAGTTTGAGTATTATAACACATTTAAACATTTCATCTGGTTTAACTACATTCGAAGCTGATGTGTTACATTTCTTCTGTTTAGCTTTAATGCCCAAGGAGAAGCCACCATTGAATGTTGTGGGAGATGTGGGAGGCAGGATTGCCATTATAGTGGTAAGTAGTGGTAATTATACTGGAATAAGTGGTAAGTAGTGGTATTTACACTGGATGAAGTGGTTAGATTGATAACTATACAAGATGAAGTGGTAAGTAGTGGTAACTACACTGGGCTAAGTGGTAAGTAGTGGTATTTATACTGGACTAAAGGGTTGGTATTGGTAGTTACCATGGGCAAAGTGGTAAGTACATACTGGTAACTACACTGAAATAAGTGGTAAGAAGTGGTATTTACTTGTATACTGGATGAAGTAGTCAGATTGGTAAACTATACAAGATGAAGTGGTTAGTAGTGGTTACTACACTGGGCGAAAGGGTAAGTAGTGGTAATCACACTGGGCTAAGTGCTTGTTAGTGGCAGTTACACTGGACGTAGTGATCAGGGTTTGAAATTAACAGTCGCCCACTCGCAATTTGCGACCAATATTCCTTGTGGGTGACTTAAAGTAGCCCACATGGCGATTAGAAAATTTTCGTTGATAAATATTTGTTTTTCAATCTCGTCCGAATGTTTCGCCTGAAAAATTTCGTAATCATTAAAGTGCTTTATATTTACTAGTGAGAAGTACTAATACATAGAGCGTATGAATGATTGTGACGGACACAATGTGGCATCGACGCATCAATGAGCCAAACAAACCAAAAAGTATCTTGGTTGTATCTGTGAAAAAACCTGCCATGTGCTTGTCTGAATATATGATGTTTAATAACCATATCAATCTTTTTAATCAAAAGAGTTCTACTTCAAATTTAGAGAAGTCGTGCATAATGTTTCTACGGATAGAAAAGAAATATGAAGCATATGATAAAAAAAATAACGAAAAATGGGATTGTTGTATTTTTATTCAATAGAAGGTGTGATAGTTTGTGGGCGAATAAATTTTGATGTGGGCCCCAGAATTGCAAGGTTTAGTAGCCCACATGGCGATCAAGGACTATAAGTTAGTTTAAAACCCTGGTGATAGGCAGCAGTAAATACACTTGTCTCAGTGGCAAGTACATGAAGTAGTAATTACCAAACTTAGTGGTAAGTAGTGGTAATTACAGAAGTTAAGTATTGGTAATTACTAGACTTGATTTTAAGTAGTGGTAATTACTAGACTCACTGGTATTGAGTAGTGGCAATTACTAGACTTGGTGGTAATTACTAGACTTAGTGGTAATTACTCGACTTGGTGGTAAGTAGTGGTAATTTCTAAACTTAGTGGTAATAAGTGGTAATTCCTAGACTTTGAGATAATTAGTGGTAATTCCTAGACTTTGTTAGGATGATTTATTAACACTGGACTAAGTGGTTAGTACTGGTTATTAAACTGGACTAAAATGTAAGTACTGGTGAAGATAACAGTTCTTGTCTATTGCAGGGCTTTATTTGTATCACATAACTATGTATTTTCATAGCTACTATTTGCTATTCACAATAGAGCTTGTTTTACAAGTTACTAAGTTTATAAATGACAGATTTTGATTGTTTATAGGACGACATGATAGATGATGTTGATGCGTTTGTCAAAGTGGCAGAAGTACTGAAGGAGAGAGGAGCATATAAAGTGTATGTCATGGCCACCCATGGTCTCCTATCATCAGATGCCCCCAAACTCATAGAGGACTCCTGTATTGATGAGGTACCTAGATTTGTTCAAAGAAAACAGGATTTTGAAAATTCCTGTATAACAGACTGGAAAAAATTCCAGCTTAAATAGAATTTTATGTAATGTTCTTCAATATCTAAATGTCCTTTGCGCTGATTCCAGAAAATGGGTAGTTACAATTCATAAGTTGTGTTGTTTAAAATATAAAAAGCAATATCAATTTGCTTTTGTAATGGTATGGACCATGGATATTCACCGGGGATGCTCAGTCTATAGAGCACCTGACTAGTGATGCAGGGGTCCTGGGTTCGATTCCTGGTCTAGCAATTCATTTTCTCCTTACCTCTTATACTTGCTTTCTTTTTGTTCACATTATAGGTTGTTGTCACTAACACTGTTCCACACGAGATGCAGAAAATGCAGTGTCACAAAATTAAAACCGTGGACATCAGTATTATGTTGACAGAGGCAATCAGGCGTATCCAGAATAACGAGTCCATGTCCTACCTGTTCAGAAACATTGGATTGGACGACTGATCTCAGGTGTATATGTCTCCGGAACATTAGAATTTGTTGTCTGTAATTTATGTTAGAATATAAAAAGAAATGGATCTGTAATGTTTGAAAATTGACAACAATTTGTTATTAGTTTTGCTAGTACGTGTACCTGCATGGTGTAAAGATAATTTTAGTGTAGTCTAAGCTTTGTTTCATTTGTATTAGAGAACTACATTTTTCTAAAAACACAGAATATAGTTTGACACGTAATAATTTTTTTATTTAAATGGTGAAAATATTGTACTTGCATGTCTTAAATTTCCACATGTATGTTTATAGCTGTTTTCCACAGGAAGAAAACTTTTACCTTGAGAAATAGTATGCTTTCTCTGTAGCTGCAATAATGTAGCCCTCTCCGATTTTTTTTTATCTGATGCCCCCCCCCCCCAAAAAAAGGGGGGAGAGGTCTCCATTATTGCAGCTAGCTTTCACTGTTGATCCTCTTTTATATGTGCTAACCCCCTCCCCCCCCCCCCATCCCCCCCATTCCCACCCCAAGATTTGTTTAAAAACCTAGATCAGTTTATTTTTGTATTGGTTTGTATCTGTTGTGTACATGTATTTCTGCATTCTTTATGATCCATCCAGCTGTTTTCATAGGATTTCCATCATTTTATGTGAAACTTGACTTTATACATGCATATTGGCAGTTTGTTGATCTTATAGTATTACCAGAAATTCCTCAATTCATTCCTGCAGGACTTGTAAATCAGTTCTAATTGTACTTAAATGTCTACATTCATTGTTTTTTGTGAAACAAAAAGGATTCTTGTTAAGGGTTAAATTCTTAGTGTATGTTTAACAATGTATTTGATATGTGTTTATTAAGTTTAGTATGTTTTGTTTTTATGTTTTTTGTTCATGTTTTGTTTGTTGAGGATGGACTCCCTGCAATGATCCCATTTTTTTGTTTGTTTAATTATATCCAGACCCATGACAAATAAACTGGGAAAAACTGTACTTGCCTCATTTCTTTGATATACAGAAGGTACAAAACAGAATACTTAGAAAATACTGTAAACATATTACATTTGGCTGTGTATTCTTTTTAGTGCCTTTGGCGGACAGAAACTTCTGCTAATTCAAGTACACGCTAAATGTCTTGCACGTATACTCATTAATAAGTACATTAATGAATGCCCTCATCGCTTACTTGTTAAAACTCAAACTTCCGCCAAATATTGTACACGCTAAATGTAATACATTTACAGTAATTTGAAATTTTATTACTTTGACCAACACCCAAACTGAATTTCCCATTTTCAATATTTTTAGTGTAGGATCCAAGCTTTGCACTTTTTTTCCTTTCATGCATGCAGGCAAAAAGCCATCTATTAAAAAAAGTGTATATTGCACCAAAAGAGCCTTGTTTCTCAATTTATTTCTCCTTTCCTTTTTGTTGCCATCTAAAAACTTTACTGATAGCCCATCTTGGTCTGAAATTGAGATCATCGCATATTTCACCTAATTATATGAGCAGCCATATTAGGTTGCAAAATAATTTGGTCCAAATTCGCTTTGTGCATGACTTGTACATACAATTCATTGGCGTCGGAAGCAAATTGAAAGTTGGGGGGCTAAGTGTAAGAAAATTTTTTTATGTACCTCCAAAAAAACTGACAAGCAAAAAAAAAAAAAAAAAAAAAAAAGGAAACTTTAAATTTGCCCAAAAGCAAAAATCCTATTTCGTGGGGGGGGGGGGGGGGGGGTTCGAACTCCAGTACCAAACATTTTCTTCCAAACACCAACACTTTTCCCATTTTTCACCTATACTAAGACGTATCTGTGGAGAAGTGGGGGGGCTAAACTTAACGAAAATATGTTCAATGTCTATACTTAGTATATATTTGGAAAAAAAGTGGGGGGGCTAAGCCCCCCCTAGCCCCCCGGTTCCGACGCCTATGCAGTTTTTTAAAGGAAGTACTGTATTTTAAAACGTGGTTATATTGACGAGTTGAAAAATTGATGATTTTTTGTTTACGAAAATTGACGAGTGTTAATTTTAACAAAATATTTATTCAAAAGTTAGGTATCTTTGAATTCACGGGGATACAAAGGCAGCTTCAGAATCAATAAAATTCAATTTTTGTACAGACCATCTACAGTGTTTAAGATGGTACAAACTATCTAAGTTTGTAAGATTTGATTAAATAAATTGCCCTCTTGTAATTTGTCTTCATTATAAGCGGTCAGTTGCCTGAGGTGACAAACTAGGTAAAACATAGTGTGATAATTACGCTAAGTTACGCATTTGATACACTACATTGTAGTTTAGATTCGGCTGTCTGTCTGTGTGTCTGTTTGTAAACTTTTCACATTTACGACTTCTTCTCAAGAACCGCTGGGCCAATTTCAAAGAAACTTGCCACAAAGCATCCTTAGGTGAAGGGGATTCAAGTTTGTTCAAATGAAGGGCCACACCCTCTTTCAAGGGGAGATAATTGGGAATTAATGAAAATTTGGTGGTATGTTTTAAAAATCTTCTCAAGAACCACTGTGCCAGGAAAGATGAAACTTATGGGGAAACATCCTCAGGTAGTGTGGATTCAAGTTTGTTTTACATAGATTGATTGATTGATTGTATACTGTTTAACGTCCCTCTCCAGAATATTTCACTGATATGGAGACGTCACCATTGCCGGTGAAGGGCTGCAAATTTAGGCCTATGCTCGGCACTCAGGGCCTTTGAGCAGGGAGGGATCTTTATCGTGCCACACCTGCTGTGACACGGGGCCTCGGTTTATACGGTCTCATCCGAAGGACCGCCCAATTTAGTCGCCTTTTACGACAAGCAAGGGGGTACTGAGGACCAATTCTAATGTTTTACATAGAAATATACAGGAAAATTCTTTAAAAATCTCAAGAATAGCCAAGCCAGAATTGATCATATTTATATGGAAGCATCCTCAGGTAGTGTAGATTCAAGGTTTTCCAAATCATGACCCCCGGGTGTAGGGCGGGGGCACAATGGCCGACCACAGTTTTAAATAGAAATATATAGGAAAATTCTTTAAAAATCTTCTCAAGAATAGCAAAGCCATGATCAGTCATGGGACTACTTTTGGATTTAAACTTTTCAATATTAAACCAATTTCTACTTTTTGCTAGCAACAGTGCTAAGGTGAGCGATGTGGCCCATGGGCCTCTTTTTAACAATAGATTCAACCTGCAGTACATGAATATCCATATCATCAAAGTTTAGTTTTGCGTACTAGTATGTAGTGGTGTTAGATACATGGTTCTGCTACATTAATTTAGTGCCTACGTTTGGACGCAGGTGTTCTCTGGCGAGTGAGAGTGATTGCTGTTACTTAGCACCAAAGGTGTCAGCAAGCCAAAAGAGATGAGGACATCTCATTCTCTGGAGGGGGACAATGTAGTAGTGTCAGATATATGTCAGCTTACTACCTTGCGTTAGCGGGTTAGCCCTTTAGCTCAATCAGTAGGGTACTGGAATGGTATGCCAGAGGCCTCGGGTTCAATCCCTAGCAGAGGCAGTTACATGTCTCTGTTACACTGAGAAGGGAAGAAGATTTTGATTTTTTGGTAAGTGAGTGGACATTGTTACCATAAGGAATTGGACACTTGGTCACCGAGATATGTTTTACATGTACGTAATGTATATACAGCATGTAATAATGTTCATTAACTAAATTACTAAATGTCCATCAATTTTTAGCACCGGCCAATGATAAATTTTTATTCCCTTGATTGACAGGGATGCACAAGTCAGGTAAATCTGAAGGTTAATTATTATCTCAGTCTTTGATTTTATGGTTTGATCAAGTCAATGAATGCAATTCATAATAATGCTAAGAATATGGTTTGAAATACATGTACTGTCAAAACTATTTGGTCTCAGCTAGTCCATTTTATTGTGAAGCAGAAAAAAAGGTTTATGTCTGGAAAGTGGAGATGAAAATAGGATTGGGTCATTACAAATCTTTTTATTATCCCGCCATGAATATGGCCGGGGCATATAGTGTTTGTCATGTCTGTCTTCTGTCTTTTCGTCACACTTTGCGTTTAGCTCTGTTCAAAGCTAAGTTTCAAAGAAACTATCCAAGATATTTTCATCAAACTTCATATGCTGATAGATATTGATGAGAGCTATGCAACTGCATCAACAGTTTTTGACCTTGATCTTTCCTTTGACCTTGATCTCACTTTTCTTAAATGAGTGTTTAGCTCAGTTTTAAACACACCATTTAAGATGGTGTCATCAAACTTCACATGTTGATACAAACTTGCATGGATGATAGTTTTTGGAGCAGGTCCATTCCTAAGAAACTATAAGCCCTACGCGGACCAAACTTGCATGGATGATGCATCTAGAGATGGACACTACCAGACTTGCTTCGGATGCTGGATCTGACCTACAATTTCATTCCCTAGTAACTATAAGCCCTACTCAAAACCAAACTTGCATGGATGATGCATTTAGGGATGGACACTACCAGACTTGCTTCAGATGCTGGATCTGACCTACAATTTCATTCCCTAGTAACTATAAGCCCTACCTGAACCAAACTTGCATGGATGATGCATCTAGGGATGGAAACTACTAGACTTGCTTTGGATGCTGGATCTGACCTATATTTTCATTCCCAAGTAACTATAAGTCCTACCTGGAACCAAACTTGCATGGATGATGCATTTAGGGATGGACACTACCAGACTTGCTTCGGATGCTGGATCTGACCTATATTTTCATTCCCAAGTAACTATAAGTGCTACCTGAACCAAACTTGCATGGATGATGCATCTAGGGATGGACACTACCAGACTTGCTTCGGATGCTGGATCTGACCTATATTTTCCAAACGAGCAATTCAGCTGCATCACTATTCAAGATATTCTAATCAAATTTTATAAACATACAAATTTTCATGTTGCTTTACTAATATATCCTCAGTGGGGCATTCATGTCCTATGGACATATTTCTAGTTTTTCAAGTACCACTGGGTCAGGAAAGCTTTATTGTATGTGGTAGCAAGTTAAATTGTTCAAATCATGATCCCTTGGGGTAGGGCGGAGCCACAATAGGAAATACAATTTTCACATTGAAATATAGAAAAATCTTTTAAAATCTTCATAACCACTGGTCTAGGAAAGCTGAAACTTATTTGGAAATATCTGTTAATGTAGATTCAAAATTTCCCAAATTACCATCCCATGGCATAGGTTGGGCCACCATAGGTATTGCAATGGAAGGGGGGAATGAAGAACAGCATTGCCAAGTTTTTCAGGTGAGCACTGTGGTCCATGGGTCTATGTTTAACAAATGTTTCTCAGCAAATCAGATTCAACCAATTAAAATGAAAAGTATAAAATTCATAGCTACATGTATAACATATTTCATATAGAAGCAACTTTTTCATGCATGGGTCGAGGACTTTAAATTTTTTTTTGGGGGGGGGGGGGGGGGGGGGAGAGGGGGCACTGGTCTTTAAACAAACGTGACT